TATGGGGGGGTTAGGTCAGGTTAGGTTAGGTTAGGTGACTTTCAGCTAACTATCTCAAAACTAAGCTAATTGATTTTCAGCAAAACTGGCATGTGAGTTATATCTTGACCGAGGAACAAATTGAATTTTAAAGAAAGTAGGTGAAAGGTGAAAATCCCAGGTTAAGGAAAACTATTCACACACAGACACCGTGGAGTTATGTGGAGCTCGTTTTGGGCACACGAGTATAAGGGTCATGGGAATGGGTGTTGAGCATTTATTTACAAGTTTTCTAATTAATGTTTAAGATGTATATGAATATTGAAGGGAGCAGAGGTGTTCATTTAAATTGTTATTTACAGCTAAACTTTTCTAATTAAACTCTTCCTATATGTTACCTAATTTACCTATGTCATGTACAGTATACGGTATTTACCATGGTGATATAAGGTACACAGTTATAATGACTTATTGAGTAGGCCTACTGTATGCCTTAAGGCTCTATCCTAGGTGCTGCAGTTACCAGCAATATGTCTTATTGCAAATCTGCGAGACTCTCTCTAAACCTTTTTTATATTACTGCATAATCTGTTTACAAAATTATCAGCTCTATCCTTAAGCCAGCATTCATGGCTACTCCAATGAAACTACCCTCACGAAATTTTAATATAATTATTCCACACCAAAGTCTAATTAATTATACTTTGTTCCACACATGATTCATCTCACAATATGTCATCTTATATCTATTGTTTATTATTCTCGGATTGTATGTGTTGTTATACAGTAAGTATCGAGAGCATCAATTAGTTCTGTAAATGATTCGACTCACAAGATGAATGTGCTGTTTATCAGAAGACGATTTACCAGCATCCACCATCCACTGCTGCTAATGCTAACCTTGGCAGCCTCGTAGAATCCAGTATATCTCGTGAACACCAAAGCTAATTAAGTTGTTGGTGTCGGGAGGAGTTTGTGGTGTCGGGAGGAGTTTGTGGTGTCGGGAGGAGTTTGTGGTGTCGGGAGGAGTTTGTGGTGTCGGAAGGAGTTTGTGGTGTCGGGAGGAGTTTGTGGTGTCGGGAGGAGTTTGTGGTGTCGGGAGGAGTTTGTGGTGTCGGGAGGAGTTTGTGGTGTCGGAGGAGTTTGTGGTGTCGGGAGGAGTTTGTGGTGTCGGGAGGAGTTTGTTATGTCAGGCGGAGTGAGCGGTAGAGGGAGTTGTTGATTAATTCCCAGGATAGTCGAGGTAATTAAGTTTCCACATTGTTGTTGTGAACCTGCCAGGTGCTTGATCGTGACGGCTATTGTTGAGAGACTGCCTATACATATCGGGGTCACACAGTCAAAGGTTATATTGTAGATTTCAAAGGAAAATTCATTAAACATTTTTTTTAAGTGAATGTATTAAGAAATTTGATAAATATAATCCGTGTTATTACTGCGAACGGAAAGAAATCCTGAAAAAAATAATATAAATAAGCATTGAATATAAACGAAGGAATTATTTTTGTATTTATTTAGTTATAGCTGGATGCTGTTATTGTCATTAATGTTTAATATATCAGGCCTAAAAAGTACATTTATTTTAGCTCCAATCCACTAATATAAATATTAGACAAGTGCCTTGTTAATGGGAAGGGGACGACCCCTATTGATTTTAGGATCACTGGCCCCGAAGATCAAAGTCATTCTATTGCTGGCAGCTTGGGGGGTGGAGGGGGGGTCATCTGTGCACTCAGATGTTCGATCCCGCAGTTCTCAGTAAATTGTTAGTGGACTTACTCTTCACCTCTAACTTTCAACTTTATAATCAGATTAATTATCACTTTCCACCAACCCCAGTTATACATCCTCTCTCTCTCTCTCTCTCTCTCTCTCTCTCTCTCTCTCTCTCTCTCTCAATATAATGATGCAGATATAAATATACATTGTGTTCTCTGGAGTGATAATACGTAGCACAAAAGGAAAGCAAATGTCCGATAACCAAAGAGTAGATTTACTCTTTAATTCCTTTAGTGTAGTGAGGTGAAGAGAGCAGTGAGAGAGTGTGTAAAAACTGGATTTTTGGGTGGGCTTGTATGGTTAATACCTCTAATGGAATGTAGTCTACCTCACCCTCTATCGATCGCATGCTATTTTCAACACAAACACACGCACACACACACACACACACACACACACAGACGCTTCATTATCTGGGGCGCTGCGGAAAAAATATATCCTACATCCACACTTTATTGTTATGGTAACGCGCTCCCAACAGTTACTACTAATAGTCCTATTACCTGATACCGCATCCAGATAACGTAAACTGATGCCACACCCAGATACCGTAAAGTCGTAAACTGATACCACACCCAGACACTGTAAACTGATACCACACCCAGACACTGTAAACTGATATCACATCCTGATACTGTAAACTGATATCACATCCTGATACTGTAAACTGATATCACATCCTGATACTGTAAACTGATAACACACCCAGATACTGTAAACTGATACCACACCCAGATGCTGTAAACTGATACCACACCCAGATATTGTAAACTGATACCACACCCAGATACTGTAAACTGATACCACACCCAGATCCTGTAAACTGATACCACACCCAGATACTGTAAACTGATACCACTCCCAGATACTGTAAACTGATACCACATCCAGATACTGTAAACTGATACCACATCCAGATACTGTAAACTGATACCACACCCAGATACTGTAAACTGATACCACACCCAGATACTGTAAACTGATATCACACACAGATACTTTAGCAAGTTGTAGTATAAACACATAATTTCCCCAGCCATTATAAGTTCTGTAATTATCTCAAACCATCATTACACCAAGAAATTTTATCCTGCAAATATAATTAACTTCCAATACCTATTTGGAGGTAAACAAATCTTTGACATTGGCTTTAAACTCTACTACATAGAAAAACAAAGTCTACAGTAAGATAAGAGAATTTAGTTAACAGCCTAGCATCATTATCCAATTTTCTATCTTGGTATTTGAAGTTGGTTTTCTACTTTCATAATGTTAATAGATTCTACAGATGGATTTTATTAGCACTTAATGTTAAAGTTCATCGTGAATTTCATTTGCGTCTCTTATTCCGTCGTTGTGTCTCTTCCTTTTATTTACCTTTATAATATATTTGTTCTCCATTTATTTTTAAGGAAATATTGTTGGTTTCTTTCATGTTAATAGTGTATATGTGATACGTGGCAATCACACATACGTTTACATCATACTGTTCAAATACGTGTAAATAAGACATTCGTCCATGTCATAGTCCTTCCCCTTTGTGGATTTGTGTGGATATTTTTTTTTTACTATGTCCTTCATTAATCTCAAACAAACTAGATCTAACACCATAAAAAAAAATCATTCTCGTTTCATGCACATAATCATCACACTCCTTCTGAAAACATTTCCTACTCCCAGACTCTTTACCACACACACACACACCTCCCAGTTCCCACTTCTCCTCTTCCCACCAACCCCTGCCTGAGCTTGGTTAAGTTGGGCTTCAGTTCGTGCCCAACGCTCCAATTTCTTCCCATATGGATAGATAAATTACTCTGGAAATGCGTCCCCACACCTAATTTAATTTCTCTGCTCTTTATGACGCTCAGGGCATATATAAGACTCATTCTCACAGTTCAACCGCCGAGAAAAGAGGGAAACATATAGAAATAAAACTCAAGCCCGTAGTAAGGAAGGATTTAACCTGTAGTGTCGGGAATGTTTCCACCGTACAGCCAATCTGATTAACTTTCTTGGAGAAGGTCAACAAACACCAACAGTAGTGGTCTCTTGAAGCTCGAGTTATGTACACTAATTTCTTCATGGCGGCTCCTATCACCTCCTCTTACTGCGCGGGTTTCTTAACAAAATTTCTTCCTAATGATATTTATTCGTAGATAAATCGTGTATCTTCTTGTGGTGGATAGAGTTTATTTTTAGAGTTTTGTTATCATGATCTCCTTTGCAATGTTTACAGCCTATTGCAACCCTTTATGGTGTAGGTGTTTCTCTCGGCAAAATACAAAATCGTCTGGCAATCGCTAAAATAAAATACTTAAGGTTATAGTGTATTTTATAGCCGGTGGTCGCTGATCCGTATTACTGTCAAGAAATGAAACAGGATCTATCTAAACTGGCAACTCGTTTAATCTCGGTGAATAGACTACCCGGTCGGTACCGTAAAATCCCACAAATCTTGTTATATTTTCAAGTCTTCTCTTCTTTATCTTCTCCTTTTCCGTGTAATGTGTCCTTCTGTTTCAATCACGCCATCAAACTTCCTTGTCTTTATTAGTATGTTTGTGATATGTGAAATGATCTCTCTCTCTCTCTCTCTCTCTCTCTCTCTCTCTCTCTCTCTCTCTCTCTCTCTCTCTCTCGCCCGCCCGCCCGCCCGCCCTCCTGACACTGATATACTCCGCCTATGTTGTAACTGCATTCAATTTTGTCGTGTTGGGCCTGGTCACGAAGGGTGTTAGTGTACAACAAAGCGTTACTGTGAGTTAAAGCCAAGAGGGATGGAAGCTCGTTGTATTTTTTTTCCTATTTCGTTAGTTTATTTTCGTTACCTATTACTTTAAATATTCTCACTGAAGATCATTAAAGACCCTTATTTACCAATGGCTAAAATGTTTGATATAGATGACAAAAAATTTTTCCTTCCCGTTACATTGATCATATATTCGTCGACACATATGATAACTACGCACGCACACACACACACACACACACACACACATCTTTTCTCCTGTCATAAACCTCCAACTTAACTCGCCAAAGACAACTCATTTCCCTTGCTTCTTCGCGAAAATTCATCTTTAAAACTTCATGAAATATGTATAAAAAACTAAGACCTTATACAGATCATATTCTTTAATATGGAGTGTTCTTTTTCTACTTTGTGATATGTTAAGTTGAATATTTACAACACGAGTCATTGTAAATATGATGATAAGATGAAAAAGAATTGATTACTTTACCTCTTAGCTTCCGTGGTCCTCAAAGCCGGAGAAGTTTACAAGAGCATCGCCACAAATGAGTCCTGGAAGTAAAAAAAATAAATAAATAAACCGAATGAATTACCAGGTATACAACACAAAGATTTAACAGGAGGGTAATACATAATGTGGGAGGTGAAAGGAGGCGAAGCTAATTGTTATTTTACGTCGTCTTGTAGTATTCTCGTTGATTTAAAGAATGATTGAGCTTTTTCTCTTTAAATGAAATATTCAGAAGTCTTCATTGACGAGGTTTTGGTAAATATGTCAATGAACAATGTGCTTGTCTTGTTCTCGCTCAGATCACTTAATATACCCGTTTGTAGATCTTCATAGTGTAGGTCAGTTGTTAAGCTATGTACGAAGAATATGGGTCATTTTAACCTATCCTGAATAATATACAGAAGTTGTGTCTCATTGAATCTGGGTATATTTACTTTGATTCAACATTCTTCGTAAGTTATTTTGCAAAGGCCAAGAAACTTTGAATCACTTGAAAATTTATACACATGTGAGGCTGAATCAGATACTGTACATGTGACTTGAAATAGAAACTAAATTCATCCAAATAAATAAAAAATTTTTAAGCCTCTTCCAGCCCATCTGTAGAGTGTGTGCTTGTGGTTATATCCTTGCCTTTGTTTATGCTGATGACAAATATTATACGATTCAGAAAATAGAGTTTGAGGTATGTGTAGTGTGTGAGGTGAAAGTGATGAGAAGGGGAGAGAGATATTTCAAATCATGGTTGAACGAGTCTAAGAGTTTGTTATTGTGGATTAAGTTCTTGAGGTTTATTTACTCTGTTGGTCTGAAAAGAGAGATGAATGGAGAGAGTATGCAAGACTTTTACTATTGAATGAGGTTGTATATATTTAGTAGAAAGCGAAGCTGAGGGGTAATGTGTTCTCGAGTAATGTACATGGAAAAAAATGAGCTGAAGAGATTATTGAGACGCATAGGGATAAAGTTTAAGGGAAAAAATAGTTCAGAGAAAAAACAAGACGAAAATCTTTAGGAAAATAACTGAATATGATCCAAGTCTAAACAGGAAATATAATGTACAGTCCCCTTCACTAGTGCGTTTACAGGGGCTCGTCAGGTTTTGTGCAGTGTGGCAGCCCTGTGTTTGCTTACATTCGACAGAAGGAAACTAGCAATAGTAAACATACTATGGAATCAAAGTAAAGCAATATTAAATCAAATATCTCAATTTAATGATTTGTGGAATGCTTATATGACAAGCCCCTTTAAAGGCACTAGTGAGGGGAACTGTACAAACCAAGTCTTTTCTACAATCCCCAGAGTCAAGTAATATAAGTTACAAATACACTGAATGGAAAGTTACATAACCCACAGTCATTGAGAAGTAGCACAATAATGGCTAACAACTGTCTATTTTTCCTTATACAAGTTTCTGAGAAGACGTGTACGTGGGAGGAGGATAAGACCCTGGGGAGGTGTTGTGTCTGATGGGGCTGACGAAGCCAATTGTTGGATATATATATAAAGTGTAGACCAAATTTCTCATCTAGGGATATATTTATCATATTCGTGGTCCCCAGAGTATAGTAAAACAGCTCAATAGATTTATGGATTGCATACTCGTTCCACTAATAATTATACCACTAAGTTAAACCAATCACAATGCTGATAACAAAACATTCACATAACGTTAAATATATAGAGCATTGTCCCTGTTTTTCGGATGGTGTGTGGTTAGCTCTAGCAGTTTCGCTCATTAGGTTAGATAAGTGGAACGAATGTCAATAGGTAATTTAGATAAAGTTTACGTTTTGGCCAATCAGGATATAGTGCGTCAGTATTTGGCGATGGAGAGGTGACGTTGGTGATCGGCTGGTCGTCTTAGTATACCCTCTCTCTCTCTCTGGTGTTTTGGGAGTTGGCATTTGACTATTGAGATTTGTTTTGCTTGATATTGATTTTGTGTGATCTTGTTGGACCTTTAGTCATTACTTAGCCACTTCCAAACATCTTGTCATTATTATTGTTATTTATTTTGTGTACATATTTGGTGGTGGGAATAAGTTAATAAATGTTCATATTTTTATTGACTTGTTTAGGTATTGACCTGTTAACTTGACCTTTGTTGGGAGAACTTGTGATTAAGAATATAATAATAAATACTGATATATTTGAAAGACTTAAGTGATTTGTGTTTATGTAATGGTCTGCCCTCGGGTGGTAACAACAACCAGTGAATATATATTGTTATACATATATGAACATTGAAAAGATATCATTTTATATCATATATATATATATATTGCAAGTTTTAATATATTTGCTACAGAAACATATATCCGTGGTAGGTTATCTGTCTCATCCATACAGATATCATGTTATTACTCACTTGTCATATAAGAAGATAAACAGTAGTGCCAAAGGCTTAGCTGTAACCTACAAAATAGTGAAGAAAATTACGTGTTAATTCCCTGCTATGCGACGTATTTAATCTGAACGAACATTCCGACTATATAATATCTTATTAAAATATTTAAAGTAATAATGCCTCCGTGACATGAAATAATTACGTAGCCATTAACATGATTCATTCCGGTAATTGTCGACGATTATCTATTAAGCCCGTGACTGAGAGGGTGGGTGAGTGAAGGTGTCTGAGCATATGCATTATTTTGGAGATGTTTTGAATAGGTAGTTTACATATTTTTCCCAAGGGGGTTTTATGTAGAGGTACTCGGGATTATGTAGCTGGGAGGTCTACAGGTAAACTGATCTATATAGCGACGTGTAGTGAAGGTGAAGGAACTGTAGACTACACTGAAATACTCGATCATATTTCTGTTTTATTTAACGAAGGTACTGCAGCATTGTTTGTTTTGTTAAGTTTAGCTATTGATCCATAATGCTTCTTGATATATCATTCAGAGTTTGTAAATTGTTGTGTTTCAATGAGACTGTAAAAATTCTTATTTGAACATCATGATCGGTAAAAAAAACGTTCGAAATTATATATAAAATGATGTAGTCCTTGTTGGCCTCCATTGTTTGGTGACAGATTAAAAATAAATAAACAAATTATCGGCGTCACCAACCCACCACCTAGCACTAACTACCAGCGACCTACTACAACCCATCTATTACCCGCCCCTAACTTCTCACTACCAACTACCACCCCACTAACCACCTCGTGCCTCGTCCTTTTGACCTTTCTCTCCTTTTCTTGCCCTTCCTCTTACACACACACACTTCCTTAGTCTGCTCTTATAAAGTCCCACTCCTCATTGACGCAGTGTGTAAAGTATTAATTAAAATTCAACACTCATGGCACGAGATGTTTGACCTTTCTCTCCTTTTCTTGCCCTTCCTCTTACACACACACACTTCCTTAGTCTGCTCTTATAAAGTCCCACTCCTCATTGACGCAGTGTGTAAAGTATTAATTAAAATTCAACACTCATGGCACGAGATGACGCCCACTGTAATATATGTGACGATGAAGAGAGAAATCACAAATGAGAAAATAAAGTGAAAGTGACACATTTTCCCAGAAGAAGAAAGGAAAGAAATGTATTTGGGAAGTTAAGGAAGATTTGTATGTTACCAGCCATATAAGCTACCCTACCCTACCCTACCCTATCCTACCCTAACCTACCCTACCCTACCCTACCCTACCCTACCCTACCCTACCCTACCCTACCCTACCCTACCCTACCCTAATCATCCCATAGATCACCTCCAAACAACTTATAGATCTTATACATAAAGCCTGGGGCACAGTAGTTAATTTAACAGATATTTGTAACCTTATAGAGTCTCTCTCCACGGGTCGTCCATCTCCGGTAAGAAAGTAATCAAGGAAAAATTTCCCCAGGGAGAAACTGTTGTATTCTAAGCTAGGAAATTTGTCCTTGTCTGAACCCTGACATAAGTTCACCTTTATATTACTTTTATCTCATCCCATCATTATTTTTCATTGTATAACTCTTTATAAACTATACTAATTGTATTTGTGTTTGCTTAATTACAAAGTTAGATGACGTACTGTTTAATGGTAAGGGTATTGTCTTAATCAGTTCAATCCATTTAATTTCATTATTTTCGGTAACTTTCTACATTATCTATTCATACTTTCGTTCTCCTTCTTCCCTGCTCTCTGTCTCTCCCATCCATTTATCTCTCTCTCTCTCTCTCTTTCTTATTCTCCGTTATATGGAGGGACAAGTCCGTTTTAAGGAGGGAGAAGTCTGTTATATGGAGGGTGAAGTTCGTTATAAGGAAGGAGAAGTCCGTTATATTGAGGAAAAAGTCCGTTATGGAGGTTTCACTTGTTAATGCTTATAGGCGTAATGAAGCGGGAATAACGACAAAAGCAGCAGCGTCACGAGAGAGAGAGAGAGAGAGTCAAAGGCGAAGAACTGAAAGTCTTAAGGAAAGTTGACCACGGGTTGGTTGGGGAGAGAGTGAAACCTTTACTAATTTTAATGAAATGAGAAAGAGACAAGAAAGGTATGATTAGACGAGAAAAAAAAAAGACAGTACCTTTATAGAACCAAACAAAAAACGGAAATGAATGTAGCGTCAATAAAAGAAGGTATAGGAGAATAATGAGATAAATGTAGCAATTGGATTTCAAGTAAGGATAATGGAGTTAGAGAGAAAAGGAGAACTGAAAATTTATTAACTTCAAATAATGAAAAGTTAACACTGATTATGTGCAAGAACTACTGAACTAAACACATTCATTTGGGTAGTTTCAGGCGCGTATTAAGACAGTTTGACATACACACAGTACGAAATCGAATGAGACAGTATTTGGACGGTGACATGTTAGGTTAGGTTAGGTTAGGTTAGGTTAGGTTAGGTTAGGTTAGGTTAGGTTTTAGCAAATGACCAAGTTTTGGCAGGAATTTAATATCCAAACCAGAATATAGCAAGAATACTCACTCTCACCAATATTGTTTTAACTTACCTATTAATTGCTTAACATGACCTGGTGCTAAAGAGTATGATAGCAAGCTTAGGTTTTATAATAGACAAATAAAAATTATCACCTGTGTTA